GCGTGAAACAGTTTTCTGGAACACTTCGTCCTCAGCAAATAGAAGGTTCTTCTTTAATATGGGGATAGTAAACTAGCTTCGAACGCTCGTGTGTGTTTGCTTCTTTACTTCAGGCCTCTCAAATGTTCCGGGTTACCAGAGTCTCCACCGCCGGGTGGAGACTTGCCACGTGGATTCTTAAGCCACGCCACGGAATGGGACGCACCTTCTTCGAATCTATCGAGACGGAGGGGGTGAGACTACTTGTATTGGTACCAAGATACTTGAGACGCCAAGAAGTACTTTGTTCTCGTGCCGCAAGTACGAAGTACGTAATTCCTTCGACATGTACGAAGTACATTACCTCTTACAATACACTAGGAAGTACTTCGTACCCTAGCGTACACTAGTACGCCAGGCAAGTGGAGAGGATGGAGTCTTCTGCGAGTCAAGGCCCTTGCCGAGCAGGTGTGGTAAACGACTCAAGATCTCAAAACGGGAGAGAGAGCGGGCATGACGCCCTTCCGCCTCGACGAGGGATTCAAGTCTGGCTCAGAACTTGGGTCTTGGGCCTGAAACCGATGATCGACGCCAGATATCTTCTTGCCCTACCCAACTCGGGGACAGACTGCATTGATCATCACCCGGCTCGAGACGCGAGTCCAATCTCCTCGCTCGGGGCGTTCACCTCTAGTCTTCTCGGGGAAATTAGAGACAATATATTGTACGAAGTAGGCCAGCACATGGCCATGGGACGGCTCGGCTCTCGCCTGGATGCATGTCTCGATTCCCATCCGGTCATGTCTTTCAAGGAACTGCAAATCCGATCTATGCCCGGACTATTACCTTCTTTGGCCCCGTAGGGCACCCGCCTCTAAAAGGTTCTGAAATTTTGTTTAGCGTCAAGCGCCGAGGTCTCCGTATGCTTAAACTCTAGTATGCGCGATAGCAATGATCTGACATGTCTCGGTGAAATAGATCAAATATGGTCGCTCTAAGCTGGAGAAACACCCACTTCAAATGTTACTGAGCTGAGAGAGACCAGGGGGGATTCCGCCCATCATTGCCATATACAGCCGTTGTGTTGCCGAAACGGGATGACATGGCTCAGGAGGCAAATCGTTGAGATGCGCTACGATAAACTTTCTCCCACTTGATCGTGCCATAGCGCAACTTAACCACTTACCTTTCGCGACGCCATTGCTTAAAACCCAACCTTGAATGGCAGCACGGTGTTTACGCGTCGCCAGCTCCGCCGGTGTCTTCATCTCGGGCGCAACAGAACCGCGCACACCTTGAAAGTATCATTCCCGAAGTCCGTCCATCGCACATCATCTTCTCTCCGGATCCGCTTTAAACTTCGACTTGGCGCTGGTAATGTTGTGATCTACAAAAATTTGGACAGCCGGGGCAATGTCGCAAAGCTCCAATACACGTGTCGGCCCTGCCTCTTCAGGGGGGAGAGGCGGGCCCCCTTGGCGTTGTAACCAAGTGGCTCCAGGATCTCCAGACGGCAATCTCCGACTCTGGAGTTTGCTAGCATATCTGCACCACACCGGACTCTTTGACTCCCCTACGATGTGGTAGCGCAAGCCAAACGATGGAAAGGCTACACTAGATTACACTACTTGGACACTAGTTTACGAAAGGACGACGAAGGGGGAGCTATTTCTCATTTGCCGTTTGATGACACCGTCGCAGTAAAGCCGGCATCCCGTTCTGCTTCGCGGGGGTTTATCGAGATGCTAGGTTCTGCACTGCCATTCCTTCTAGAACCTCCAGACGACCTCAACCTCTCCACTCGAAGACCCTTGAACGAAAAAATTCGCCTCTGGACTGTCTCCAGCCGCTCCTCGCTGGCTTGGCAACGACCCACACCGTCAATGGAGTGGAGACCAAGTCGTGCCATGGGCTCAATGATAGTCGCATTTGCTAACCTTACTATCAAACTCGCCCACCCCCTCCTCCGCCTTTGCACCACTCCACCCCTATTCTAACTTGTTTTGAAGAAGACGGATACGAAATCGGATGGGAAGTTTCCTCATAGCGGTGTGCGAAGGAAAACCATGCGTTCGCTTCGGAATTGGGAGATGGAGATTGGCCGTCAAATCCTTTCCAAGGGGCACGACCCTTATTCCCCCAGGTCTGGGTCCCGAATTGGGAAATTGAACGACAAGGCTGTTTCCGAGAACAATATGCTCTACGCTGGATGGAGCTCGGGGTAAAAGGAGGTTGGACCTGCGGCCTCGAGGAATACCACGTAAGCATCCTACATGGCTTGATGTCATATCGGCGATGCCATGCTTTTTGCTCCTCTGGGGAGCCCTATCTCAACACATGATTCTGTCCCAGGGCTTGCACAGCAGCTAATAACTTGTTGGGCAGGGAATCGTTGCAGGACCTGGGGCTGCAGCGTCGTATGGAAACGGACATCTTCGTACATCCTGTACGATAATGCAGCTACGGGCAAAAGGGGGGAGAAGAGGGTCCTCGCAGGCATTGCGCACTAGCTTAGCCTCACCAACCCGACTTCACGCACGATGTCAGTTCTGGCCCCTCACAGTTGCCCCGCCACTACTATCAACCGGCTCTCTACGAAGTAAATTACCAAATGAAGTGATCGTATTGGATGCTTGCCTAAAGAGGCAGAGGTATTGAACAAGTAAACGGCCGGAAGAGGAAAGAAAAAGGAACGGAAGAAGGATGAAAAAAAAAAATCTGCTGCGGCTGGACTGTGTTTTCGTGGATGTTAGTGGCTATTGATTGCATCCGATGAGGGACGCAAGCTAGCTGATGTACAGGACCGACCCGACTGCGTCTATGGGGAAGCGCAGCAGATTCGGTCCTTCTGTGAGACAGGCAGACGAGTGGCTGTTGTCCACTCCAGCGTCTTCTTTTATTTGAGATTTGTGCTTTTAAGGTTTGCCAAAGTTGCTCCTAAGGGTCAGTCTAGTGCCAGCTGGTCTTAAGATGAGGGAGGGTGAGATGCATATCCTCCTCGGGACCGAAACGCGGATGTCACCTCCAGATCGCGTGCAAATTGCGGACGGCGTCTTCGTGTCATGACGTCTAGTATGGAAGAAGAAGGCCATCCACCTCCTCGGAGCATATCACACCCCAAGAAACCGTTGTGGCCACCAACTTTAGAAAAACGTATAATCTTCCTTTCTATTTCGTTTCTATTTCCTAGTTTCGAAAAAAGAAAACGAAAAAAGCGGGCACTATAAAAAGAGGAGGCTTGAAGCAAGCCACAAAAGCATCTTGTGTCCCCAACATACTTCGCCGATCGGGGCAGTTCCCACAAGAATCGATCCACCCCCCCTAAGGGAAGGCGAACAAATTCAACGGTTGGCCTCATCGGCAGTTGGCGTGGCGGAACTGATCTGACAAGAAACGGAAGAAGGCTTGATGGGAACAAGCTCCTCGGCTCGATTCTTTAAGGTTTTGCCCCCTGATTATTATTTTTTTTTTTTCCTTCGTCGAACAATGAGGAGAGTTTCCTCCTCGTTGGGTGTGTGTGGCTTGTTTTCGTCATTTCTCGCCTCGTGAGATGGAGGCCAAAAAACGGACCAGAAACACGAGCTTGCCATCCTGTCTCAGCCCAGCTCGACAGTCCGAGTTTGCGGCTCCCTATCTGCACCTATCGAAACATTGGCAAATGAGAAGCGCCGAGTTCAAGCAGGACTGTCGGAAGGAAGACAGAACCCGAAGAAAAAAAAAAAAAAAAAAAAAAAGGGGCGTGGAGAGCAAGCTGCAACCCCCAGAGAAAGGGCGGCACTGCAAACGCCCCCTCCATCTTTTCTTAATGATCCTTGGATGTTTTTCTTCGTTCCCCAACAAACGGGATGCTCACATCTTCGTGTGGATGGGGCGAAAGTTGCATCCTACTAGATTACGAAAATCAAAAAAAGAGGACACGACGTTGGAAACCACCTGCAGATGCCACGCACACCGGAATAAAGTGCCTGTTGAATTCCTGGCTTCCCCGCCATTCGATACTGTTTCTTTTTGTGAGAGCTCATATTTTCTACGCCCTGCCACAACGCTTGGCCGATGCTGCCGATGCTGCCGATGCATCCGGATATCGCGAGGCAACGTGGGGGCCGTTGCAGGTGTGTCGGGTGATATCTTCCCTTTTCGATTGGGTTTTCCGTCAGCATCGATGGCAAATCGATGGCAACTTGGTTGCTGGTTGCTGGCTGCAGGGTTGAAGGGCGTGGATTCAGTATCACGACCACGTGGTTGCTCTCTCCGCGTTGCTCCATGAGCCCTCGGAAATTCCAAAGTTGTCGGGACGAAGACATATGATTGAGAGAGAAGGACTGATGCTTTAATGAACCCATATACCGCGGCGTCCCGTAACCAGCCTTGTCGTCCACTTGGATAGCCGACAAGGGGAGTGCCACGGGGTCTTACTTCGCTGGTTGTCTTCGAGCCTCTCGTGTTATCAGCATTGCAAGGCATCAATCAATAGAATACCAACGCTCATGTAGATGTAGAATAGTGGCCCTTGGGCTCGGGGATGGGAAACGCCTCGCTGATGCGACAAGGCCATGCCATGCGCGCCAACGTGGCTTCGGAGTCTCGTCACACCCACACATCAAAATCTTCATGCAGCTGTTGGTCACAATTGCAACTTCGGAAACGGGGATTCTCCTGCCTCAGATTCTCGGAACCAAACTTCACAGTGATACTTCGAAAAACATAAAGGTACACCTGCCAATGCCACTGGCTTTTATATCTACGGGACCAAATTCTAAAGCGAGAAAATCATCCTTCGCAACGCCTTGACGCTCGTAATTTCTGAAATAGTATCCCCCTTTCCCTTCCTTCCAACATACCTGTAGACATCTTGAAGAAAAAAAAAGGTTGGTTCTCATCAACCCGTAGCCTAGAGAAAAACATGGCCCGAAAAGTAAAGCTCCGTCTTCTGACGAGGACTGTCAAAAGACTCCTTCTAACGGTCCGGTTGTCTGCCGCATTCACAACCCGCTGAATAAGTTCCACAGGCCATCATCTCCTTAGATCCTCGCCGGCGCAGCATCCCTCTTCCAGCCCTTCGACCTCATACTACCCTCAATAGCCTTCCAAATCGCCTCCACAACCTCCTTGTCCCTAAACCTAGCAGCATCAGGCGCATCCCTCCACCTATCCACCGCGCACGGCATAACGCGGTGACCCCAGCTCGCCACCGTATCAGGCGGCTTATCCCCCTTCCAACCAACGTAGATTCCGAGAACGTGCTTGAACAGCTCGCTGGGCGTAGACCACTTGTAGCTCTTGAACTGCCACGCCTGACCGGTCGTGAACACGGCGACGACGCGGTTCCAGTACTCCGGTTTGAACTGCTCGGGGCCTTCCACGAGGATGAACCGGATCGGCCGTGATGGGTCGATGTCGCGCATCATGCGCGTGACGTGGAGCATGTTCGTGCCGGTGCCGGGACCATCGGGGGGCGAGAAGCGGCCGTCCTCGAGGAACGAGCGGATGTTGGCCATCCGGAGAAGCGAGGAAGCTGAAGGGGAAAGGAGGATGATGGGGTCGGGTCGGCGGCCGGGGGCGCGTTGCGAGGATAGAGCCGGGTCGGCGATGCTGCTTGTTCCAGGGTGCTGGGGCTTCCTCTGGACAAAGACCGTGGCGATCTTCCTAACGTGGGAAAAGTCCTGGATATCCCCATTAGCCAAAGGAAAGCTCCATCTTGGACGATTCTAAGTGTTAAGAAGTGTACATGGCTTCAAACTTACCGTAGGCTTGATCCCTCTTAACACCGTGTTCCTATCGCCCATCCGCCTCTCATGGCTATATATCGCAGCCATCCTTGGATCCAACGTCCCCCGTCCCGACCTTGTCAGCCCGGCCGCAGCCGCAGCAGCTCCCTTCGTGGCCGCACCACCCGCCTTATCTCCCTCCAACGGCTTTATGTATTCACTCTCCTCGCTAGCACCCTCCAACCACGTAATGAGATCCAAACGCTCAACAAACGCAAGGTTATGCACGGAGCCTTCGCTCCCCGAGGCCTCGAGCTCGGCATTCAGCTTCGCCGCCGATGCATTGTATTCGGGGATAGCGACCTCGCGGTTCAGCCAGGCGAAGTAGATGCTGCGGACGTTGACGCCGTTTTCGCCCGAGGTGACGAAGCGCGTCGATGCCGCGATGGGTATGACGGTGTCGTTGGCGTGGGGGAAGCGGAGGTGCGTCGCTTGGGATAGGGGCACGGCGGGGCTGCTGGGGTCGGTGGATGAGGTGGGGATGGCGGGTTTGTTGGCGGCGATGGATTGGCGGAGGAGGAGGAGGGGGTCTTGGTCGATGGTGGCCATTGTGATGGGGGAGGCGCGGGCGTTGAGGATTTCTGACCGGGACGCGATGGAGGAGATGAAGGGAGCTGATGCTCTGGGGACGCGCCTGTGATTAGGAGGACCAAAAAAGAAGGGTAGGACAGGCTATGGGTAAATAATTGGGCGAATATTTAAATTGATGCCGAAGGCTTAACGAGACCAAGAGGATGATTCCTTGTTGCGGTCTGGTTGGTGGTTGTGTGGGGGGAAATGATGGAGGTTTGGAGACAAGGCTGGGGGTGGACGCGAAGCTGGGATTTTTTTCTGGGACCTGAGGTCGGCGCCTTCGACCAACCACAGCTCTCCTCAGCCTTGCAAATCGACGCCAACACATGAAACAACTCGGAAGGAGCATCCGCCTTGGAATTGTGCATTTGCAAAATAAAAGAGCAAAATTATAGAAAATAACATAAAATGCAATAAATACAAAAGAAACATCTAATTCTACAGGGGAAATGCGTATTGCAATGCGCCGAATCCGACCCGCTATCATCACATCATCACATCCATTTGATCAAACCATCCATCCCATATCCTCCTCTATCCATACAGAATTCCTACCCTATGCGCCGTCCTCACAATGCCTCTTTGCCGGCCTCTCGTCTCCATCCCCGTTCTCACTAGGTCTCTTTTCAGGTACAGGATCGAGGTCATCCTCACTAAGGGCCCAATTCGAAGGCGAATCCCCCGAGTCCTTATCCACCGACATGGCCGCGTCCTCCTTGGATATTCCAATCGAGTCCCCCTTCGCCGCCCGTATCGCCGCCAGGAGCTCATCGCGACGCGAATGGTCGAACCGGAGATTGGGTAACGTAAGACGTTCGAGGTGCGGGATCGAAGAAAGCGCGCCGCGGGCCGTGACGGTCCAGGCAGCCGCGTGTGCTCCGTCCTCGAGGGCGAAGGCGATGTTGAAGTTTTCTTTGTTCCGGACGACGCCGAGGGCGTACGCGCCCGTGAATGTGTCCCCCGCCCCTGTCGTATCGACGACGTCTCCGTGGAACTGGGCGGGTACGAAGCCGAATTCATGCTGGTGGTTGAAGTAGAAGGCTCCTCGGGGTCCTAGCGTGATGACGACATTTTTGACGCCCTTCTTGACGAAGGAGAATCCGGCTTTCCTCATGTCCTCCTGTGTAAGCTCCCGTGCAGGGTTCGCATGTCCCAGGAGCATGCGACACTCCATTTCGTTGACGATTAAGTGATCTAGCCCCTGGTAGACGTCCTCGGGGAGTTTCCTCACGGGCGAAGGGTTGAGTAGAATAGGAACTCCTTGCTTCTTGGCAACAGAAATGGTATGTAGTACGGTCTTGAGGTCGAGCTCCAGTTGCAATATGACCAAATCCGGCTTATCGCCGGGAATCGTGTCGCCAATATCCGCCGGTGCAAGTTTCTTGTTCGCATTCAAAGTCACAATGATGCGATTCTCGCCCGAGCTCTCGACCATGATCATAGCGACACCGGTGCTTTCGCCCTCGATCCGCTTGACATTCGAGCAGTCGACGCTCTGCGACTCCAGCGCCGATATGAGCTCCTGTCCAAAAAAGTCACCTCCCACAGCGCCAACCATCTTAACCTTCGCGAGGGGCCCACGTTCGAGCGGCGCGTGGCCGGGACTGACGTGGGCTAGCTTCGAGCAGGCGACCGCCTGGTTGGCGCCTTTGCCACCCGTGCCCGTAGAGAAGTGGTCGCCCATAATTGTCTCTCCGGCGCGTGGTACGCGGCTGACGTAGGATGTGAGGTCCATGTTGAGCGACCCGATTACAGTGATTTGCGGCAGGGGCGGCGTCGCATTTTCAGCTGTGGTTCGGTCAGCGCAGGGTGTTCGCCAGGGAGCGACCGCGGGGAATTCAAGGATTGAGGGGCTGTGTGCACCTACCTTGACTGGCTTCCGCAGCCATTTCTGCTTCTGTAAATGTCGTCTTCTAGAGATCTAGGAGGCAGAAAATCGTTTATATTCTCGCGACAAACAGTCTGCGAGATAGAGATTGCGCACGATCGGTAGAGACTGTTGGTGGCGAGTCGCAAAGAGACGAAGCAATCGCAACTCAATGCGGAAAGCTCAGCTGCAGCTTAGCTCCAGTCGCAGAAGTTAGGACAAAGTTAGTCGACATGCCACCGGCAATTTCATTCACAATTCAATGGAACAAATAGATCCCTTAAATACGGTTAGGAATTGACGTCCGGAACCTAACTTTCAACATTAAGAGATGTTTTTTCCAAGACAATTAGATCCAGCCCCCAAGAGGGAGAGAGCCATTGATGAGAGGAGGCGGAGCTTGGCGGCACCGAATCATCATTGAACGGCTGCCGTCCGTCCTGTCTCTGGTCTGTCTCTGGTCTGTCCGACCAAGCACAAAGGAGGTAGCACACCACGTGAGGCGCTGAAGGAGCTGAGGCGACCTCAATTGATGATGAGCTTTCCCCGGCACGTTCCAATATTCAATAATCCTGCAAGGTCTAGGGTCGCTGCAGGGGAACAGCCCACAATGGGCAATAATGGAGCTATCGATAGGATCAAGCTAGCTCCCCTTCCATATTGCCTCTTCCATCCTCACCGGCCTCAATTAGGTCTCATGAAGCTTAGCACGAATCTAATCTATGAAGTATGGGCCTGTTGGTCCAAAGCTTTCAATATCGGGTGAAACTAGCAATGGCCTTTCTTTTTCCTAATTTGTTATTTATTGAAAAAGTCTTTCTTCCCTGATGACTCTCGAATCCGTTCCCCTGAGCGAGCTTTTGAGAAACAAGTCCGCCTTGAGTCATTCTCTTCCGCCAGAAGAATATAGCTATCTCGATTGTGCAGGCGTATTTCTGCCCGACCTCGCATGCCAAACTTCATTTGCTGGCTCAGACATCGCCCGCAGTATCACCAGTGATACGGGCCTGGTGCCTGCCCACGTGGGCCTAATTACAGTCTGGCAAGACCCTCCGGATAGTGCTCGAGAACCCGGCGTCCAGCTTCGGTGGCATAGGCAGTCGTCGCTGTGGACATCGCCAGGCGGAGTTACCGCGACGGGATTTGGGGTGGTGCTCTCGACGCCGGACTCTTCGAGGAGAGGAGGGGTCCTGATGCGAATAGCTTCCTATTCGAAGGTCAATGCTAGCTCACAATGGAAGCTCTTCGCACATTTTTCTAGGTTTTCGAAGACGTACCCCTCCAGGGAAGTTATTTTCCCTTTCTTCTTCTGGATCACCCCAGTGTCAGCGATCTCAAATCGTGTAACAGCGCCAGGTGGGAGAAACTTACGATCCTGTATCCCAATGCGAGGAACCGCCGTCTGAGGTGAAGTTTTGCTTCGGAAGCACTTCAACCAAATCCCTTTGAAATTACTTTTCAAATCCACTTTTCTGCAAAAGAAGCTTCTTTTTGGACCATCATTTCGAGGCCTTTTTCCTGCAGAGTTTGCCCCCCAGAGCATCCGTCGTCTTGCTTCACCATTACCTCTATCAAGTTCTTTTTCGTCGGTTACTTGATCAAAGGTGCAAACGGCCTTCCCCGGCCCGGGGTGCGAAACCTCCGACGCTCGCATAAGAGAAGGAGGTGGAGGAGGAATAACATTCTGACTCTCCTCCTCGTAATGGTAACTCGAAGCCGTCTCTCTACCCTCGGTCGACAGATTCCCCTGCAGGGACGCCACGTGTGCTTCCTCCGAAAGGTACGTGCTCCTTCGAGAAAGCTTTTCCCCTTCGTGCCCCTTCGGATATGCTGCCTCCCGACCGGCCTTATCTTCTCGTACAGAGTCCTTGGACTGCGCCGCCCTACGTCTTGAGCTCTACTTCCAAAACGTAGAACGCTTAGGGACTCGATCCGGAACTCTCCTCTCGGCCCAGTAACCTTCTGGGAACCAGACCCACTCGTAGCCGGCTTTCGGTGGACGTGGAGGGTCGGCACCGAATGTGCGGGATACGGAATAGTTGACTCGTCCGAAGGAGTGGCTGCCGTCGGTGAAGAGCTCGGGGCCTAGAGGCGGCTCTATATCTCTGGGCCATTTGCTAGTTGCCGGAACAGCTCTGAAAGGCAAGTGTTCATGATCTGGGAAACTTGTCGGGCGCTGCCGTGTGGTATTTGTAACATGCATGTGAAAACCGTGCCATTCAAATGGTGGTGCTTCTTTGGTAGGAGCACCCGTAGTAGCACCCGTAGTAGCGCAGAGACTTGAAGTCCTTGGCGGGATCGATATTCTCTGGTTTATGAGGTGTAGGCTTGTGCATGAGCCTGCCTCCTTGTCTCTGTAGTCCACCATGAGCTGCCTACACTCAGTCCTAGTATTTCTTGGGTCCATCGTCGAACTGAGAAGGCATAGGTATTAAGCCGAGGGAAAAGGGAAATAGACGTTTCAAATGAGCGAAGTATAGTATCGAGGTAGGGAAAGAGCAGAAGAGCTGTAAGTAAACGAAGGGAGTTTATAATGCAGGATAATACTTTTAGGTCGAGCTTGCCAATCCGTGAGAAGTAGGTTTAATTACAGGAGAGGGGAAACAGGATAGGATAGAAAGTGTCAAATTCTGTTCATCACGAAGGAAATGTATTAGGAGGCCTGTCTTCGAGTGCCGGATGAGGCTTGTCCTTCTAGCGAGCATCACACCCAGTCGTGCCTTCCGCCCCCTTGATGCCCTCTTTCGTTTTCACCCTGCCCCGCTGATATAGATTTGGTAGCCCTGTCCTGTCTACATATAGACATCAATCATTCCTTTCGTATAGCCGTGTCCCGACTCGCCGACGTCGGAACGGAGTTTGCTCAGGTCCCCGTTATACTTCACTGTATATGAAGGGAGAGTTATCAAACTCTCAAGACATGACACTAACGGCCTTTGCCCAATTCCAGTTACCGATTAGGCATCGTTACTCTAAAGAGGAAAAAAAAATCCTGCAAAGTTCACCACCCCGTCTTCAATCAATGGCCATCGTGTCATCCCCATCAAACGGCGCTGGGTCCTGAGGAATAGGAACTCCCCGTCCTCTGCCCGCGAGCAGTTCCTTGCGAATCTCGGGCCCGATGGCCGAATGACCGTGGGTGAGGAGCAGATCGAGAAGGGCCTCTCGCTGATCTTCGGTGATGTCGTTTCTGTACTTTTGGGCAAACTCGAGGAAGCACTGGTGCCAGATGACGGGTAGCTTTCTCCTTGGGGGCGCCTCCTCGCCCACGAGGCTGGCCAGGTCGCTCTCTTGAACGGAGGCGGGGTCTACACTGCGGAATCGAAGGAAGTCTAGAGTTCCAGACTTGGTTAGTACCTGCATCACTGGCAATATCCTACCCCGAGTCAAAAAGAAAAGGGGAAATTAGAACTTACGGAAGACGAGAGCATCGATAACCTGGTATGGCAGGGCATATCCCTTCTGGAGAAGGGTATGGATGAGGATGTTCGTGGCGCCACCGCCCTCGGTACCCTGCGAGGCCTCTTGGGCAGCAATATCGCAAAGGCCCTTGATGGCCGCGGCAGAGTGTAGGACAGGGACATGGTGCCTCCTCAAAACTCCAGAGATGATCGTAGCCTCGCGAAGGGTGCAGGTTCCACCACCGACCAGAGGGAACAGGAAGCCCTTGAACCAGGCCGACGGCTTAAAAAGCGCCCTCTCTAGAGCCTTGAACAAGTGGGGGTTCAGCTTCTTGTACTCGTAGATATCGTCCTTCACCCTATCAAGCAGCACCATTTCCAGGAACCGCTGCACGACGGCGGGCTTGCTCGCGACGAAAACTCGAGTCACGGCATCGACCGCGTTCGCACTCCACGCCTCGGGCTTCGTTATTTGCAGGATCTCCTCCCAGTGGGGCACGGTGGGGAGAATCTTCATCGGCTTGGGGATGGGGCCTGACCTGTGACGGGATAGGATAAGCCCGACCTTGGTGTAGACGTCGACGACTTTTTCGGGGATATCGAAGTCCTCGTCGATGCCGGCCTCGGCACGCGCTTCGGCGGCTTCGTGAGCGTAGATTTTTTCCAGGATCAGATCAGCGAGGTTCGTGGGCTCTTCGTTCTCTTCGACGGCGTCTTCCGGTGGCCTGCGATCCCATCCGTGCTTCAGTAGAGGATCGTCGTCCTCCGGCAGGAATTTCCTAAAGGTCTCGAGATCGTCAGGGTCGACCTCGATTTCCTCAACCTCTTCGTCCTCGTCACCCCACACTTCGTCGTCATCGTAGAATTTGTTGTCCGCGGCGGTGTTGGCGTCTATCCTCTCATCGAATGCGAATAGGTTGTTCTGGGGTGCGGGAGCTTGGGGCTGGCGGCGCTCGTCCTCGGCCTCTCGGGCGAGGGCTTGGCTGATCTTGAGAATGTTTCGCGAGGCCTTGGAGTCGACGAAGTGGTCGCCGTCGTCTTCTTTGGTATCTTTGGCTCTCCTCTTGGGCGCCTTGGCTCGGAGGGGACCCGTGGCTAGGAGATCATCTTCGAGGGGATTGTGCCGCCTCTTGTGGGCGGTTGTTAGTGTCGCCGCCTTGGGCATTGTGTGATTGTGTGGGGAGACTGCGAAATGTCGACAGCGGTAACCCTTTGATAACCCCTCGACTGGAGTACGACTGGAGTATGGCAAACAGTCACAAAAAATATGGGAGAGCTGGAAAAAGAGGAATAATTACGGCGGTGAGAGCATGTGCCAAAAGGGAAGGCTAATTTTTGGGCGGTCTCGACGGTTTCTTCCGCCTTGAATTTTTTTTTTTTTTTTTTTTTTTTTTTTTTTTTCTCTTCAAGTTCAAGTTCTGCCAGACTTTTGGTGTGTTAATTGATTTCCCCCGCAGTCGCATTTGGTGGTGTTCAAGGTACAAAGTACCTCGATCATGGGTCTGGTTTTCACCGCCCGGCAGAAAATGGAAATTTTTTGGAGGGGCGAGGGGCAATCGAAAGTACCCAAGTATCTTTTTCGTGTTGGACTGCAATATTCTAGAAAATGCCCCGCCATCGCATCGCCATCGCGATCAAAGAGCATTCATCTTCACCAACAAATATTTCAATCCTCATACAATTACTACCTCAGACCTGCGCACCATTCCCACCCCGAATTTGATTCTATTTTACTCTGAAATTCCTGGAATATTTTAAATATATCACAGTCACATCTTCTCCTGGCGAAATGGCGAGTAAGGAGCTCCAAGAGGTAAGTACTCCCCAGTGGTCACTTATACTTAGCTGCACCTCATCGTGGAGAGCTTCAGCCCTCACATTTACTCTATCTGAGCATTAAGAGTGAAGAGTTCTTGAGCTGATATATATATTTTCATACGCTAGCTCGTAGATTTCATTGCGCATCCGAATCCCCAGGTTCGCCTGGGGGCTATCGAAGGCGCTGTTCCATACTCTCTGTCAAATCCGGAGATCTTCAAGGCTGATGACCTCAGACATATCAGGAACTTGATGGTGCTCGTACGAGATCATCCTGTGAGTTTTTTTTTTTTTTTTTTTTTTTTTTTTTTTTCTTTTTTATCTTCACATATGCCTTACATCTCATGTCTATTCTTTTTCTGCATGAAGAAGTGTGGGACTGTTGAACCCTCACTGACATGTTACGATAGAGAATTGCCAAAAGCGCATTAACGATATTAGTTAATCTCACGGGGGATCGGGATGTCCTCGAAAGCGTAGCTACAAATGAACAGTTCCTATCGCTCATCCTAAGTAAGATAGTGGTATGTACTGCGTTTTGAGAACATCCCCTGAACAGACATCCATCAAAACTCTCTACTAAACAGCCTTGTCTTACCCCTTCTTTAAGGACGCATCGGAGACAAACGCAGACCTCATGGCCATGCTCCTAGCCAACCTCAGCAAATGGGAAAGCATAAAGGACACCCTCCTCAAAAAACAACAAAAAGCCCCCGAGGCCCTCAACTCAGACGACCTCGTGATAAACCAGCTCCTTGACCTCTTCGTCAAGGGCTTCGACGGCTCCTACAACAAGGACGCCAACTTCGACTACCTCGCCTACTTCTTCGCCGACCTCGCCAAGCACACCGACGTGCAGGAGCACTTCATCGCGCGCCAGGATTATGACAAGGAGATCCCTCTAACCAAGATTAAGGTCTTTACCGAGCATAAGTCGCATATAAGGAGGAAGGGCGTTGCGAGTACTATTAAGAACGCCGCCTTTGAGGTCTCATCTCATCCGTCTTTCCTCTCTGAGGATGACGTGAATATCTTGCCGTATCTACTCCTGCCCATTGCCGGGAATGAGGAGTACGACGAGGATGACATGATGGACATGCTGCCGGATTTGCAACTCCTCCCACCTGACAAGGAGAGAGACTCAGATCCCGAAATTATTCTTACCCACATCGAGACGTTGACTATTCTAACCACGACGAGACCCGGGAGAGATCTCATGCGCCAGGTCAAGGTCTATCCTCTCATCAGGGAGACTCATCTTCATGTGGAGCACGAAGGTGTAAAGGAGGCGTGTGAGAGGCTGGTGAATGTGCTGATGAGGGATGAGGCGCCGACTGTTGAGGAGATTGAGGAGGATGAGGAAAATGTCATCATGGAAGTCTAAGTAGAGGATATGGAGGGCAATGCGTAAAATCGCACTCTATGTTGTTATAGTCCAGGATCTTTCCCGAAAAGTTTTGTCCTACATAGACTTAGAGATCCGTTGAGAGGATGATCTCGGATCTGCTTCCGTTACGCTCAGAAGACCCCATGCATCGTTGCCAATCAAGCATAGATATTTGTCAGTCGCTACTGGATTCTATTAATAATGCCGCCCTTTCAAGTATGTCAGATCTGCTCACATCTCCCCCTCAAACCAAGCCCAATCTCTCTTCCCTCCAAACCCCCCAAACCTGTCCCGGAAAAATAAATAGAGTAACTTCACCAGTCTAAGTTGAAGTGCCCTATAAAAATACTGAGAAGATTCACAATGAAGACCGGCCTCGCAAAAGCCACTCTCGGCAACACCACCCTCGCTGAAACCGCCTCGTGGCATGAAGTCGAAGGGAATGTCTACTTTCCTCCCGAGAGCATCAAAAAGGATCTCTTCGAGCCAACTGACCTGAAGACGATTTGTAGTTGGAAGGGTGAGGCGAGCTATTATACCGTCAAGGATGGAGGTGAGTTTTCCTTTCCTCTGTGGGTTAACAAACGTGTAGATATATTTGTGTATTACCCGAGCTTGAGAACAAGGATATACTAATGAGGAAAAACCTAGATACTGTCCTGAATAATGCTGCGTGGTATTATCCTAACCCCAAGGATGCGGCCAAGGAGATCAAGGACCATGTCGCTTTCTGTAAGTGGCGCTGGGGAACTTTGCTTGAAAAGCATTCAGGGAATGGTGATTCTCACAACAATCCTGGACAGATAAGAATAAGGTCACAATTACAACCGAGTGAGGCTAGCAACTACTGCAACAGCCAGATCACCGCATATGAAGATGGAAAATGCCCGTGTCATGATTGCTGTGAAATTGAAGGAGATCTAGTAGGATCTATATGCCATGCTTCCGAAAGACTAAGAAAAAAACAACGCTGGAAACGAACAACAGTCTCCGTACTCAAAACATCCATGTAAGGGGGTATAGAAATATGCTAGAATCTCCAAATCAAAAATAGGCTCCTTCTCTGAACCATATTTGCAGGAAAGAAAAAAAGTCGTCAAAGTCATGAATGTCTCTTTATGCTTTCCAAATGAGACTATTTCCCCCCTTATAAGTTGATCAGGTCAACTTCGGAGAAGTCAGGCGGTGCCCTACCGTAGACCACCCGAATCTTGCTGTCCAGAGCGGTACCTTCGTTACTGATCCAGATATAGTCGCTCAGCTCTCTTGTCCTGCGAATCTCGTCGTCGCTAACACCCAGATCGTCCCTAGGAATCCAGACGGTGGGGCGGCGAGCTCGCAGCGCCGAGTGCTGGAATGCGTACCGCACGAGCGCGTCTCTCTCGTCCGGCGTGAGATCCTCGATTTCGTCGTGGTACCCGCCGAAGAGCGCCTCGCCGATGGCCCTCTGCTTCTCCAGGTCCTTTGCCTTGAGAAGCCGGCGGTACTCTGCTGCACTCTTCGAGCTGCGACGCTCCTGCTTGGTGCTGAAGGTGAGCGCGCGTCGGGCTTTGGCGTCGCCCTTGTGAGCCCAGGTACCAATCTTCTTGACCGTGCTGAGGGCGGAGGATTGGTTCGCGAGTCGGCGATTCTGCAGCTTTGTGAGCTCGATGTCGTCCTCTTGGGTAGAGAAGCGACCAAGGCCTGGCCCTGGCTCCTCCCTATTGTCCGTGTCTAAGTCGTCGTCGTCCTCCTCGAGTCCAAGGCGACGGGCCTGATCTCGGCTGAATACTTCATCGCGAATGCATGCCTCATCTTCAAAGGTGATTGGTAGGTATCGGAAGAGAGGGCCGAACGACATGTTCAAGAGCACCTGGTACAGGATGGTGAAACCCAGGGCAATGAGCATGATAATGCCCTGAGTCGTGCAGGAAGCATCTCCATTGGCGTCTCTGACAATGAAGAAAAGCCCCGCTAGTGCAAGTTCCATGACGTACAGGCCTGTGAATGTCTGATTGATGGCGCGCGGGTACAGTACGCCGCCTGTGTCATGCTCGAACCGAGTAACGTAGAGCATGCTGTACCTCTGTGCTATCCACAAAAGGCTGAAGGTGATAATGGCAAAGATGGAAATAAGCGGCGCCACAACGGAATAGATGAGGGCAATGCAAGCGAAGTTCGTATACACAGGGAAGAACGAGCCCCATTTGATATCCGAGAGCTTGGTGTTGCGCGACCACTTGTTACGAGCCGTGCTATCCAATATCTTGGCCAAAATGTACCATGTGAGCAGCGCACCGATCTGAAGGAGCGTACCTGAACTCGTCGACAATGCCTGTAGAATCATGTAACTGAAGAAGTAGTTGGCGGCCTTTGGGAGATTCTCGGCCAAAAGGTTGAGCACCTCGTTGACGTCGGAGAGCGATGCGAGGTTCGAGAAGAGTTGGTCGACGCTGGCGACGAAAAAGGAAGTGATAGAAACAATAAGGAAGACCTGGATGAATAGGAAGGCGAAGAAGTAAAGCTGGACGAATTCGGTCTTCTGAGACCCAGTCTTGACACCCTTGAATTCGGCGAGAAAGCCTAGGATAATAGGCACGAGAACCAAGAGAAGTGACAGGAAGATGGCCGGCAAAACACCTACCACTACCTGTGCGACCTGCTTGACTTTAGGATCCTCCTCCAGAAAACTGAGCCACTCAAACCGCCTGACAAGACCGTCGAGTTGACCAAGCGTCGCGGTGAAAGCTACAGGGATAGCCCACAGAAGCAGCATTCCCACCACAATCAAGGTTACGATAGCAGCCCGAGCCCACTCCTGCCACCAGTTGATTGCCATGTTGTCCCAGATGACGTCCTTGGGCGAAATCTCAATTTCTCTGGGCGCCATCTGCTTCGGGATGTGGTGAATCAAGCTCTGGCAGGCCATGTGTGCGGAAACCTGATGGTTGAACTGGATAAAGGCCGAGTTCATGAGAGGATATCGCTCAGGATGCTTCTGATCCTCTTCGATTTCCATGTTGAGTCGCGCAAGTTCCTTGCGGCACCAATCAATTGTGTCTACCTTTCGGTTGATTAAAGGCAAGCCGGGAAGCCAGCCCGGGGTCCAAGAAAACCTGGCCAATCGATGCGTTGGTCGATTCTTCCTCTTAACCCACTTTTCCCACTCTTCGGGTCGCCGTTCCTCATCACTACCCTCTTTGTCGGCATGTTCATTAAAATACTCGGGGTACTCATGCTGCTCGCCTTGGATGTCGGCGTGCATGAAGGGTAACGCCATCTTGATCTTCTGCCAGCGACTCATGTTCGTCTTGCTAAAGGGGAATTCGTCATCGTCTTCAGCACCCTGCGGGACGGGAGAAGCATATCCACCAGCAGGAGGCTTCCAGAATTGCCAGAACTTGACTTCGTCTTTAAGATACATGTCATCCAAATTGTTCGCCTTGCGGACGGTGTTCTCAAAGACAGGTGGTTGCCGTGGAGAAAGGGAAGGTCGCGACTTTGAGAGCATGCTGTCCTGGGAGGCACCGCGGTAGTGACCCTGGTTGGGAGGTGTCGCTCTTGGGGAGTCATGGGAACCATCGTCCGCAATTTGGACCCTGCGGTGATCAGAGCCTCGAGTCGGTGGTTTTGACGAGTCGGCACCGTCCGTTGATGTAATTGGGGCGAACCCGTTCGTCGTTTCGAGAGTCCCCTCGACATCTTGGCCAAAGGTCTTGAAACCCTTCCCTGCCTTTCCGACTCCTCCAATAAGGCCTTGGCCTACTTTGGCCAGTCCCGTTCCTACAAGCTTCAGGCCTTTGGAAGAACCTGGGCGACGTTCCTGTGAATAGGACAGGGACTGGTCCTCGCTGATAACGTCGGAAATATCCTGAGGAACGTCCTCACTCTGGCCAGAGCTCATGCCTCCGCCAGCAGCAGCCAAACGCATGGCCTCTGCATCCTCCTCCTTTTGCCTTCGTTCGCGTTCTTGTTTGGTTGGCTGCTTTGTGTGCATTTCGCGTCTCTTCTGTTTCTCTTCCTTCTCTCTTCGTTTCAGCTGCTTCTTCTTGGCAGCTTTAATCAACTCGGTTTCTGCTGCCTCGAGTTGCTTGTGGATGTCGTCTCGCTCATGGACCTTGTCAAGTAAGGCCTGCAGGTCTCGGTTGAGCCAGATGTTCCTGATACCACCAGGAAAGACATCGAACAGACCTCTCAGAGCTTCTTCGCTCAGCCATTTCGACGGAATAGAGTTGACTAAAACGGTTGTTGCTGAGGCTCTTAAACGATGCTCTGCGCTCGTGAGGTAATCCTGGCGGACCTTGATGTATACCCGAAGCTCGAAGAAGAAAACGGTGCACACCCATCCAATTACACAAAGTGCCAAAACCAGATGAGCCCAATAACGGTCGGTATTTTCGGCTGTAATATTGCCCCAAGCCAGAGTATCAAGGCCAGTGATGGCATTCGGGTTCTTTGCGTCATCATCTGTATCGGCAATAACGTTCTGGCCTTGGCCACCTACGTAGTTGAGAGGGATCAAGATGGGTAGGACGACGGTGGCGATGGGGATGAAAATGATAAGTAGGGTTTTAAGGTATCGTAGGAAGAAGTAGGCGTCGAGTCCGCATTTTTCGATGACTTCTCGGTCATTAAACTTCATCAAAGCCTTTACCATGCCCAAGGCTGAGGCAGGCGGGGGTTCAGTTCTTTCGCGTTCGGGAACGAGGTATGTCTTGGGTTTACTGGATATCGGAAGCACGCACATGTTAGTCGCCGGCGATGATAGGGAGGGAAATGAGTGGGGGGCGTGCGCGTGAGACTTACAAGATTCGAGCCAGCTTGTTCCTCAGCAGCAAGAAGATAGCGATCTGAACAGCAAAGATGATCAACGCGACTACCAAGGCGCCCAAGAACGATTTCAAGCTGATTCCTTGGAATCCCTGAGCGCTTCCCATGCTGCCTTCGGCAGCCTCAGAGGTCTGAGCCGAGGTAGTTTGTGCTGCAGTGGCGGTAGAGGAGATAATGGACGAAGCTGCCTCAGTAACGCTCGAGGTAATTTGGGAGGTGAGGCTGCTCGCAACCAGGCTCGAGGCCTGGCTTAAGGTCGTGGACATGGCGAGTTTGGAGGTATATTACGATCCGAGGAGGTGGCCAGCACAATGCTGGAGAGCAGTAAGCCGACGCCAGTCGAGTCCAGTCGACCTGGAGTCCGTCTCGCCGGCTAGTGTCGTTTGAAGATGGGGGAGGAAGATCCTTCGTAGTACTAAAAGTGTGAAGACAGATCGTGAAGGGTTAAAAAGTAGAGTGGCGCCCGAATATTAAAGAGAGGAGGCAGTACGAAGTACAGCGCACGAGTTTCAGATTGTTAATGAGAGGATCGTCTAAAAGCGGGAAGCAACATTCATCATCCTAAAACAGCAGTATAACGGGGAGAGGGAGGTGGAATTAAGAGCGGGCAGCGACCGTGATAAAAGAAAGAAGCCGGCTCCATGGCTTTTGTCCCGTTTCTGGGCATCTAGACACTCGTCTAGATCGGAGTGCAGCTGCGTTTATTTCTACTTTGTCCTTGGTTTTTGCAAATGCCAACATCAAGACGGTCAATCTTTCCCTGCTAAAGGGGCGCTAAGCAGAAACCTGGAAGTTGTCCCAAATTGGCCATTCGGTCAATGTACCAGTACAACTTACGTACCTGGCAGTGCTGTTTTCGGAAGGTTCTGTCCACCAATTTGCCAGCTTTGTGGCATGCAATTCATTGGTAGTTTCAAAGTTTATGGTTTCCGCCCGTACCGTTACATCGACCCACACTTTCGTTGCTTTGTCTTGTGAGAGGGAAGGTTGAACCAGGGACAGTGGAGGCATGTGATTGGAGGCAATCTTGGACAAGCAAGACCCTGGATCGCCTGAAGTGAGGTGACATCACCGGTCTTCATTGGTTCAGAGGAGCTGTTTCGTGAGGCGTCCCACCTGTTCCTCGACCTTGTTCTTTGTGCCCTGGGAATTTCCCTTTTGCCGCTGACGCAAACGAGCGTGGCTTGCTCGCTAGCCAAGCAAAACCAAACATCTCGGCATTCAACCGGCCTCTGGGCCACGCAAGTCATTTTATTTGCTACTATTCTCCCTTCCTTCAAAGTGCGCACTCCTTTGGGCTTCTATCTATAGGATTTTCAACGGACTGGTGTGTGGATGGGAGGATGCTGAAACAAACCTACATAAGCGCCAAACGCTCCTCGACTTCCATGGCGAATCGCCATCGGTATGAGACCATGCCGGGAAGCTTGTGTGGATTGGAGTCAAAAACAAAAGAGAGCACGGCGCTTGTGAGCTGACCAAGTTCACCCCGACAGCCTTTTTCCTGTCAGAACTACTGGCCGTTTTGTGGTTTGAGTTTAAAGTCAATTTGATCAATAGGCACACAGCACGCAGCATACGAAGTACGAAGTCTTAGAACTGTCATTTGAAGACACTCTTCCTTCACTTCGTAATGAGCCTCAAGCGCTAACACTAACCAAACCATGTTGGACGCTGATCGACAACGGTGCCTGTGGCTAAACCCAGAAGATTGAAGCGGAGGCTCCTTGGGATATAGAGTATAGCCCACGACCACACGGGCGCTCTTCGCCCTCCAAAGTCGTTGCATTGATCTGATGTGCCCGCCCTTGGGGATTTATTCAAAGGCCAGCTACAGCCAGCACATGATAAGCGAATCTCTAAAGAGCGCACCCGGATTTGAACGCTACACGACATGACATGTGCAAGAAGGTTGATGCATCACGTCTGACCACCTTAAAGACACCCACATATACTTCCTACAAGGTTAATTGGGTTATGAATACTACGAAGCACGGCATCAATCAATCGAACCTTGCGAACACCATGTCCCAACAGCCCGGTTGTTCTTTAGCCGTCAAGGTCTGTTATTGCCCCCAACGCTGGGGAATTCCGAATCATGTCGATGTTGGGCCCTGCAGTCGGTTCCTCCCCTCGTCCGATATTGTAACAATCCTCAGCACCGAATTCGGGAAGTGGATGAAAAGCCTCACAGAATTAATCGCCAGGCGTTCCGATGATGCAGCTCGACACAGCATACCGTCTCTCTACATTTAGACTCCGTCGTATGCCTCAATAGACTATGGGCGGAGGACTCCGCGAACTTGACCCGCCACAATTGCCGACCCCACTCGCCCCTCCCCCGGTCGACTTGTGTCCCTCAATGGATCTGATCTGCCTCTGTTGGCCTCACCCACACTGGAGTGCGGGGTAGAATAGACTTTATTTCCGTTCCCGGATTCGATCCCTCAAGGTAAAAGGCGATGCTGCCAGGGGACGCTCAGCTCTCATTGATGCAATCTTCGGGCAGATCAATGAAGCATCATTGATCTCCTGGCTGGGGTGTGTCAGCAAGGGAGCACACTAACCTACTCCCGAAGCCTACCTCCTCTTGATGTGGCACGATGGCTCGATATCAACAGGACAACGGAACCAATGAGGGACCCTGGTGGCGACTGACGACGAAGTGAGGAACTCAGAGTGAGGCTTTATGGGCGAGCTTTTGCTGGCTCGCTCAGTTGCCGAATCTATCCCGATTCTGCTGCGGAGGTGTGGCCGTTGCTATATTCTGTTGGCTACCAACAACGGACTCCACTGTCGCTTTTCGGCAGTTCAAACCAAGACCCTTTTTTTTCAATTCTGTATGGGGAACCTCGCCCACTTACACGTTCTCTGCCTGCATGTTCCAGGCTCTTGGTGTAAGCCACTATATACAACACGACAACACGAAGAGCCTCCCGATTCTCTATCATGACACCATGTCTCCCGAACCACAGTAGATAGATAGACTCCGCACCCCCCGCCTATGTAAGCTAGCCATCACCGGCTGTGCCGTTTCGCCTAGTCAAAATCCGTATTCCCGACTTGAAATATAGTCTCACGCGTCCTACCCCTTCTCCACGATCGGCCGCGGAAAGCCCATCGCATTTTCTTTTTCCCTTAATTTTTCTTCTGCTCCTTGTTCCTTTTCTCAAGTGCACCTACCGTTCCGTGTCTTATCTCTTTCACTCGTGTGCGCAAATCATCGTCCATCGTCGAAACACTCATTCGTTGTCCGCGGAATACACGACTTGTAAATAGCTGTGCTCTATGGCCGAGAACGGAATCGAACGCGCTTCTCCTGCCTGCTTCCTGTCTGAACGTTATTTGCATACAAACTCCGAATCTACAATGTCGAGTCCCTTTGATCTACGCATTGCCGTAATTGGCGCTGGTAAATAACCACCGCGACCCGGACGTCGTTAGAACCCTCCTCGCTGACCGAGTATTTTTTTTTTTTTTTAATAGGCATGGGCGGCTTGGGAACCGCCCTGTCCCTCGCTAAAAAGGGCTTCAAGAACATTAGTGTCTATGAGACTGCGAGCAACCTCGGCTTCGTGGGAGCCGGTATCCAGATGGCGCCTAATATGGTCAGGATCCTCGACCGATTAGGTTGCTGGCAGGATATTCTCAAGGACTCGACCATAGTTCGGGGCTCGAGCATCAGGCGTGAGTTTATACAGCATGGGCTGTCCCACACCAACTCGGTCGCTAACCAGTGATTTACGATAATGCAGAGGGGTCCACGAACGAGGAGCTCAGTAGGGTACCCATGCCGAACATCGAAGAACTGTACGGCTACCCCCACTGCGCCGGTCATCGGTCCTCCCTCGCCGGCGGCATCTACGAAGCCTGCAAGAAGGAAAGCAGCATCAAATTCCACCTCGCCACGCCCCTCATCGAAGTGACATCCTTCACCCCCGAACCCACCTTCCGCGTCCAGCCCCGCGGAGCCGAACCCTACACCGTGCGCGCCGACGTCCTCCTCGCCTGCGACGGCATCAAGAGCCTAACGAGAACCGCCGTCCTAGCCGCCGCCAATGCCGTAGGCGAGGAGGCCGAGACCGAGCAGGCCGCCTACCGCATCATGCTGAAGCGCGAGGATATGGAGGGCGACCCGGATCTCAAGGCGCTCATCGACAGCGACTACGTGGTGAGGTGGATCGGCGAGAAGCGCCACATCATCGCGTACCCTGTTGCCGACAAGACCATCTACAACCTGTCCACCACGCAGCCCGATAAGAACTTCGCCTCGGCGCCTTCTGCGACTTACACCACCCGCGGCGACAAGAGCGTTATGCTCGACGTCTTTGGCGACTTTTGCCCCCTCGTGCAGAAGATGCTTAACCTCGTGCCCGAGGGTGAGGTCTGTGAGTGGAGACTGCGCATGCACAAGCAGCTCCCCACCTGGACCCACGGTTCCGTTGCCCTCCTCGGCGACGCGTGTCATCCTACCCTCCCCCACCTCAGCCAGGGCGCCGCCATGGCCATCGAAGATGGCGCCGTCGTCGCCGAAGCCCTCTCCTTGATCCCCGACACCAAGCCCGAGACTATCGCTAGGTGTCTCAAGGTCTTTGAGCTGTCTCGCAAGGATTGGTGCACCCAGCTCGTTGACCTCGCCTATTTCTCTGGCCGCACCCTGCACCTCGGAGAGGGCAAGGCCAAGGAGGAGCGTGATCGCCAGTTTGCTGAGGCGAAGGCCAACGGCGGCGAGGCGGCCGTGCCTGACAAGTGGGCTTCGCCTGAGGTGCAGAGGATGATTTACTCCAACGACTGTGTCGCGAACCTCCGGAAGGAGTTTGATGAGCTGTTTGCGAAGACTGGCGAGTCTGGTGATGGCGCAGTTCAGAATGGTACGAACGGCGAGCCTAAGGGAAAGGGGGGTGCTGTGCCCGGGTCGGCGCCTGTTGTGTCTCTGAAGAAGGCGAAAACAGATAATACCGGTCAGAACGGAACGGTGGAGGTTGCATAACTCCGATATAGTCAAGTTTGAGATATTTTTGCCTTCCCACTTTAAAACCATGTATTGCCACTTCAATATATAGTTGACAAACAAAAGAAACATTGACTTGCATTACTGTCGACGAATAAAAGTAAGACCTTGAACATTGTGACACAATCATAACGCCTTTCCACCGAACTTCCTTCCACATGAACAAAATCGGGGAAAAAAAAGGAGGAAAAGAGGAGGAAAAGAGAAGGGGAGAAAAGAAAGAAGTTTCTCTAAATCACACCTAGGTGTGCAAGATATTAAACAAGTACGTGCTAAAACACCGGGAAAAATCTCCAAGGCCGCATGCACATGCGTTGATGAAGAAAGACGAACAGAATACACAACAGTAAAAAGAAGACTAGAAACACCTAGTATTGCCTCCCTCCCATAACGCCGTTCGCATGCAGTAGCCGTTGCCATTCTCCGTCTTCCTCGTCATGAAGCACTCCGTCAGCCGCAGGAGTTGTTGGTGACTCTCTTCTCGTGATGCAAAGGTCCCTTTGGGCTCGTGGAGTAGTTGTATATGATTCGGGTGGCAGAACTCGAGGACGGGTCCGGATGCATCTTGTCTGGTCCAAGATAATTTTTGCAATGACGTGTTTCGATCCCTTTGGGACCCGTCCAGACCATCGCAGGACAATACACTGTCCGTGGTCGCCAGTCGGCTTTTGTTTAGAAAAGCAGGTCCAAACAACAACAGCAGGCCAAACCAGCAAGTAGACCCTCCATCAAGCCGGGCTTCCTACGGCCTCGGTCATCATCGTACACTCCTTGTGGGGGGTACTGCTGGTAAGGACCCGGGGGATATCCGCCTTGAGGGGGGTATCCGCCTTGGGCATAAGGATCTTGGCCATAGCCGTAAGGGCCCGGCTGTTGCTGGTAGTAACCCTGCTGACCGTAGCCCTGTTGCTGAGGGTAGCCCATGGGAGGGGCCGATTGGTAGTAGCTGTTCGCGGCATTCGGGTCTTGGTAGCCTCCGTAAGCCGCCTGGGGAGGTTGAGGGTTGCCGTAGGCCGGGGGGTCGTCGTGCTTCGACATCGTAGGCAGTCGTTATTAATTCGAACGGCTGTTCGTTCGTCTGGGGCGTGGTTGATATAATCGCACGCTTCGAATAGGAGATGAGGGCTCGAACAGAAACGATCTTGTCGGGAAATCGCGATTCGGTCGACTAGGGTGAAAAAGAGCGAGGATCGAATCGAGGTAGAGGAGAGAGAGCGAATGCGGGAGGATGGTTTGGAGGAATTCGGGGGATGCCAAGGAAATTCTGGGGAGATGGGCGATCAGAAATGCGAGTTTGCTGGAGGATCTTCAGTGAGGCTGAGCACAGGGAGGCGCAAACTGCCCACGCAATTTTTTACTGGCGGTTTCGTAGGCGTTGAAAGGTGGGTGTGGGGCTTGGTTGGCTGGATCAATACCTGCGAAGTACAAAAGACAGAGAGCGCTGAGCTGACGAAGTCTGAACTCCGTGGCGTCCTGTGGTCACCAATTGTACTGAGTGATAGTGGGAGAAATGAGAATGGCAGAGGGATTGGTTTCAATGTTTGGGAAGATCTGAGCCAAGCAATGAAGACGTCAAAGTAGCGTACTTGTACCACAGAGGTTCTTCCCGCAACACAATGGGAGTGTACGATGTTTGAAGGGGAAACTTCGGAATGGCTTTCTCAAGTGTCAGGAAGCCAAACGGGGCAGGAGCTCTCGGGTCTCAGTTTGCCCGAATGTCTCACCTGGAAGGCGGATGACAAACAGGAAGTGCAGCAACAATGGGCAGAGCAACCCATCGAAAGGCTATCATGTGCCTCGGGATACCGTTCAAGGTTGCCACCATACAACCATACCTTTTCACCATTGCAAAGTGGTGCCTGATGGTATGCTAAGAATGAAGTGAGCTCCTTCCACGTTTATAGACAAGAAATTTCATAGGTGTTTCATTCACATGTGGCCAAGACACACAGCCCGGTAGGCATTGCCCTAGGCCCGGAAGAGCATTCATTTCCAATCATTCATCTTCGGTATTGTGTATCAATTGATCTTTCCGATATGCTCTTGATCGAAGGTCAGGTTGTCCAAGCCTAGATAGAGCAAGTAGATATGTATCATTAAGAGGGAAAATGAAGGGGATGCAAAGAACAATAGAGTTCGTCGCCTTTCCTAATTCTCGTCATCATACGGTTATGTCGGCATTCAGGGACACGACATCGGAAACTCTGCAATCGAGTTGGCCTGTATTCTAGTAGCAACCGGGGAACATTGCTCTTTTCCCGTCTTAATCATGGGCTTAATCATTCATGTCTCGGGCCGGGAAAGAAAGGACTCGTCAGCGTTTTGAAGTTAATCGATCAATCCCGTCCTGCCCCCCACGAACCTTCTAAGTCCAGCTTGCGCCACTGAGCATGTGCTTTGCATTCTTGGTAGGTTCTACTAGTCCTCGGATTCGCAAGGAAGTCCTTTCCCTGTGGGAGGTGCAGATGTTCTTTCTCGTTTCGATTTCCAGCCTCTCGGATTGATTGTTGATACAGCAGGGGGCAGGAGCACATCGTGGGAAAGATGCTGCCGAATTCCACCAGCAAAGTCGAACATTGATGCTCGGCCTTAGAATGACACAATCTCGGGTGACATACGCAGGTAGTCCTAGCCACAAGGTGAATGGTGCCCGATGCACGATGTGCCACGATGAGGCCCAGCGTCGTCCCTCGGTTCATTTCCCAGCTCGAAGCCGTGTAATCGACAAGGTTGGCTGGTCCTGTGCTCCTTCTCTATTTAAACGTACCATGTCTTGGGTGGTTTGACCGGTCGATAAGAGCGTCAAGTATTACATTAGGTCGTGCATGACATAGACTGTACGAAGTAAGATGCCGCGAGACCGGCATCATACAGCACAAGGTAGACATGCTTGAATGGAGAGCGCTCGCGGCAGTTCACACAGAAGAACCTCGTTAAACACCCCAAATCCGGGGCGCGCAGCACAACGATCCAGGTTCGGACATGCGCAGAAAATATTGCAGTCAGGCAAGTTGGCCAAAAAGGAAAATAAGCCAGAACCGAGTCTGGTCCAGCCTTTTACCACTTTCATTCTCTTGCAGTCTTACGTCAAGGTTACACCAGCCGGATGAGCTTGTCGCCCTCTATCACTGCAGCTATTGGTAACCAATGACCTCGACTCATAACTGGAACTGGGAATACATCAAATTGATATGTGGGATTTCAGTGTGAACCACAGAGACGTGGTCTGGTGCTGGATGGACAGGCAATGGAAGGGACTAGAGTGATGTCGGCCCCACCAATGGTTGGCTAGCCGCACTGCAAAGTCTACAGTCGATCTGAGAAAGTAACTTTTCCTTGGCTGTTGCTTCATGCAACTCGGTGGGATGGATGACTTCCCGGCAGGCATCTATCATCCGTCTGCGTCTCTCTGTCGAAGGTGGAGGTTGGAGAAGATTGAATCCCCAGAATATTACAGGGTATCTATTGCTCGTCCAATCTCTCAGCTGCTGCGTGCTACTGCAGGACTTCGTCCTCACCATCCCGCGGAAACTCAATTCGGTAGCCTCTTTACAACTCGGACATTAGTCCCTAAAATCCCTACCTTGTCAAGACGATCTTGCATGACGGCACACGGGAGAATATAATATCGGAGAGTATCTACCTCTTTTGCACTGGGGACCTCAAGAGTAATCCGGTCCTTACCCCCGTCCTGCTGAAAACCCCAAGCTTTCCAGCCGCAGCTGGTGGTGGAGGATTGACTGGGCTCGCCAAACAGGGTGAACCAAGTTCCCACTCCATTCGTACCTCTGAAGTCTTCGTCGCCTATTTCCGGGTCCTACAGTCGTCTAGTGGGGAAGGAAAACAGAACACTTCCTACAATGGCAGAGATTCTCACTTTCCCAGATGGGGATGCCCAAAAGCTGGCTCCCTATTTACCGCCGGTCCCCGAACCGGCAGCTGCCGCGCGTACTGATATGGGAGGGCGTCGTCGGCCATTCGTTACCCTCACCTTTGCGACATCTCTCGATTCCTCTCTCTCTCTTGCTCCCGGCACCCGGACTCGGCTCTCTGGTCCCGAATCTAAGGCAATGACTCATTATCTCCGAAGCAAACATGATGCAATTTGCATTGGCGTTGGAACTGCTGTCGCGGATGACCCTGCCTTGAATTGTCGTATTATTGCTGGGAACCAGCCACGGCCTATCGTTATCGATCCCCTTGCCCGTTGGGAGCTCAAGGAGCAGAGCAAGGTGCTACAGGTAGCAAGAGAAGGCAGGGGGAAAGGTCCCATCGTTGTGACTGGCGTGTCGGCTCCATCATCGACCTATCTGAAACTCGTTGAGGATGTGGGCGGCAAATTTATCACTGTACCAGTTGACGAAAACGGCCGGTTGCAATGGTCCGATATTCTCGCCGTCCTCTTTGAAGAGGGAATCCGGAGCATCATGATCGAAGGCGGCGCTTGTGTCATCAACTCCCTTCTTGACCCAGCCCACCAAAGTCTCATTGACTCTGTCATTGTGACCATCGCGCCAACGTGGTTGGGCCAGGGCGGTGTGGTTGTTTCGCCTCCAAGAGTCCATGACCAGGGCGGGGTTGCGGTTCCCGCCGCAAGACTCTCTGATGTGGCATGGCATCCTCTGGGAGAAGACGTCGTTCTATGCGGTCGACTTGAGTGAGATGGTAAACCCGCTTCGGCCCTTCGACCCGGAGATCGCATACACGTGCCCGCCGTTCGCCAAGTGTTTATGTTGAGACCAGCCTTTAGCAATAAAAACGGGGACCCTATTCTGGCAATATACGTGCCACTCGAATCCAACTTTGATTAACTATAAACCTAGCGTCGGATCATATCCCGCGTCCGATATCTTTGATGTTAATCAGCCACCATATTTTAGACATGACCTCTCCATCTGATCTCTAGCCACCGCAGCGGTATATAGAGAAGACCGGTGGTGAAAAATGCGACAATGAACCCTATATCGCCCGTTTTCTCTGCGATTGGACCCGTGTACAAGCTCGTCTCCATCCCAGGAATAACAAGTCCCAAACTAGCCACCGAAGCAAGAATGGCCGGGATACCTGTTGGAAGACTTCCTCCAACATTCCAGATCGAGTGGTCGAATGTTGACCAGTCCATCTTTCGAAATATCATCAGCTCTTCGATCACGACTGCATCGAAACAGCCAGCCCAATACCCGATGACAGCCAAGTAGTTTGTCAAAGATACTTCCCAGCGGTGAGCAGTTTTCAGTGCCATGGGAATCATCAACGCCATTGTTACCGTTACCCAGATGAATCGGTGAACATTAGCGAAGACTGGCAGGATCATTTGTAGACAGAGGGCCACTGAGTACATGGAGATTGCGACATTACCAATGATGCTCAAAGCTAACACTACGAGGATCACCTTGCCGAAACCGCCGATTGGGACAAGGATTTCTGCCATCACTCCACCTATGCCATATCCCTCGAAAGACTCTTTCCAGGCTGGCATGTTTGGGATTGCGCCGCCGATTGCCGCTCCAAATATCAGGAGGGGAACCGAGGGTGTTATGAGAGCCATGAACAGGTAGGTGAATATTCGTTTCCTAAGGGCCCTTGTTAGCCTTCTGTGTCCTATGGCCACGCTCGACTCTGTCTACTCAGCCTACTTGGGAGCTTCTGGCTTGTGGTAAATTGAATAGTCAGAGACCGTTCCTCCGAACGTCAAGAAGTAGCCTGCCATCAACCCGCCGTACGAGAGGATTCGAGTTGTGTCGGCTGGTGCTACCTCTTGCTGCTTATGGAGATGGTTGTGAGCACAGCCGACTAGAATTAGTATGGCTATCATGTTCGGGATCCATTGATACCGTTCCCACAGGTGGAGAGCGTTGTATCCGAGAAACGAGGCCAAGAAGCCGATGGCACAGACGACGACGATACCAACACTAACACCAATGTTCGCTCCGGGATTTACGACCGCGAGGGTTTGGCCGCCCACAATCGAGGACATGAGAGAGAATCCTGTCAAGGTAGCTGCGTTGAACAGGAGGGGGATCGTCACTAGGTACAGCCTGTCCGTCATCTATCGTTAGTACCCACGCCAGGAGGGAAGAACGAATTCGGCCCACCCAAAAGAATACCGAGCCTGTACCATCTGTCTCATCCCCGTCTTATATCCACCAACTCCCATGAAAGCCGGTGGAATGCTTGTAAGGATGGCGAATAGCAGAATGACTAAGGCTGCTTCCTTAAGACTCAGTCCGAATGACGTTGTCGCCAACAAACCGGTCGGGATACTAATAATATCCGTTGCTAAGGGGTCAGTCCGTCACGCCTCCAAAGGGAAATCTAGCAGTCGACACTTACGGCAGAATGCAGAGAAGACAAGTAAAGTACACCGTGAAGATATCACTGTACTTGGTTTGGGTCCTGAACTCAAGTGGCACTGGCTTGATGCCATTTTCTTCCACTCCTAGGTCAAGGAGTTTTTGGTACCATTTGGAATTTTCCTCGGGTCGCAAGGTATACACATCTCCAGCCCCTATGTGGAGGAAAGAAGAGATTCCGTGTCGTCCCCGGGTTGTTTTCCCTTTTAGGCCTTGCGACCGCGACTCTATGTCTCCTGCTCCGTTTCCATCCCCACCAGGGTCGGGATGAGGAGATGCCATAGAGGTAGACAATCGTTGGGAGGTTTGCGAATTTGATTCCCAAGAGCGGGAAATCTATGGCGCGGGGAGCTTTCTATGGTCTAGGTTGACTGTGGGCTTTCTGAGCTGCTGTCCACGTTGCCAACGGGGGAGAGAAGCCTATCTCAACATATACGAGCGACTGTTAAGCCTGAGACTACCTCCCGTTTTCGTCGACGCAAACTCAACAGAACAATCCCCGATCATCGGCCTTTGTCGTTATGATAAAGAACGTCGAGAGCGGTTGTGCAATGGGGCCGTGGTTCTTCCGGATGCCGGACGACACCCCACGCCAAGCAAGCAAGCAAATCAATATAATTCCTCACGATATCTCCCTAGACAGATGCATACGCGCCTCAGTGGGACTTGCAGTTTTGGTCTATTTCGTCATCGTCAAGGGCGCTGGGCCGTGGCCTTGCAGATGGCTGAGAAGACATTTTCCACCCAGCATCCCGGAGGTAAATTAGCCCTGGCCAACTTTACCCATGGTTCTGATGCCCATTTTCCTCGGCGATTAGCAGAAAATCAGGAAGAGTCCCTCAAGTCGTTGCCTTATATCCATCCCGATGGGTCCGGCTTCAAACTTGGAAGGATCCATAAAGCTGAGATGGTCGTCGACGAGAGAGCTGCACACACATTTCACAACCGTTCACCATACTGCTCCCGCTCGACAAGACAGCATGGACAAGCCCTGCCGACTAGGGACCCCGGTCCTATGAACTCGCTGGTTTTTAATGCCCCCATTCTTGGCTTCTTACTTGCCGAAGCCATGTAGACGTGGCCAAGCTAGCCTGAACGCTGCAGATTGAATGACGCCGGAAAACCCCAAGAGGGGACGAAAACATGCTCTAATTCCGAGTCACACATGGCCAGAGCCACTAGTTAACAGTGGCAAATGCAGAAACCGGAAAGTGCTGTTCCTCAATGTACGGCGTCGTATCTCACGAGACACAGAACGGCACCTGCAGCACTTCTCAATGATCAGGCATAAACACTGGAAGTTGCAGGGTCTGACACAAGCTGTGATAAGCCATCCAACCTTTCCATTACGGCGCGTAATTAAGTGGCAGCGGAGCTAAATATGCGTGCCACCATTCCAAACTCTCGAGACAAATCAACTCGCAGACCACAACGCTCGTCGCCTCCTACGGGTCGGCGAAACTATTGCGATTGCCCGTCAGTGCAGATCAAAAGGATGTGCCATTGGTGGCATCGGACAGAACGTCGTCCAGGAATGAGGGTTAAATCGATTGGGCTCAAACACCTAGCACGATTTATTTAGTCCAGTGGAGAAGACCCTTCTAGCAGCAAGCTCCTCATATTCAGGGCGTGGGAGCAACATGCGAGGCGGGGGGGGGGCCGCTCTCGGCTCTCAGAGCTACGTTTGCCTAATCAAGTGCCGTGGGTCAGGTCGGTTCTTTCTTGCGACAACAGGGTGACCTCGTTCCCAGACGAACGGTGTCTGCTTATCTTTTCAAGCCGGCCGAATTATCGTCACACGTGGCCTAACCATCTTTACGGATAGTTCCTCCATCCTTTTCCCAACTCTTTCGTTTGACATCTCTGCCCTGGGGAATAGAATGCCAATCAACTCCGCGACGAGGTCGAGTGTGTCCGCCCACAAGTGACCGCAAATGGGCCACTTCCCATTAGCGATATGGACTGGCTTGAAAAGGCCTTGGCATCGGAACTCTTTACCAGTACAACCGGCCACCCCGGTCTACAACTCTTGGAACAGACCGACTACTTCCCTCGAGCCTAGCCGGATGCAGATGCGGGCCGTGAGGTGCATGATCAAGACGCAGGGATAGTCTGCGAATGGGGAAACCTGTCGAGGATAGCCTGCATTCTTGCTCATAAATCTCGAGGTTCTAGTGGCTGCTCGACAAACTGAGGAGCCGTCGGCATCCAGCATCAATAGGAGGAGCCCTTGGGGCCCGATGCGCATTTTGTGTCTCCAAAGCAAAAGAAAGGCTTGGACGTGGGTCAACCCGTTTTCCATGATCATCCCCATACGCCGTACCACTCGACCATGGCATACGCTGCTAATCCTTTCTGACCGAGCTCTAGAATGGCTTCAAATTTCGGTAGTCGGGACGCGTCAGTGTTGTCCGACTACGGGTCTGAGCCTACTCCCGCCTTGGCGTCGATGTATGGTGTCTTCAACTTCTCGCGATAACCCCGCGGTGTTATTCAGTCGTCGGACAGAAACAGCCAATGAATGGACTAATATGACTGCGGTCCGGACGGAGAATGCGGCCGGTCAATAGGCCCTAATGATGTGGGTTATGAATGACAGTGGGGGCTCCGGGATCCTAGAAGCCGCCGATATATCATACCTCGCCTTCACGCAAGAGGTGTTTTCTATGAATAATACAGTATGGACGAAGACGAAGAAATGGGCCTGAGAAACTGCGTTTTACTATACCCTCAACTCACTTCGATTCGTGTTTAAGTATTGCTCTTTCCATACTTCGAGGTCGATCTTCGTCCTTTTTCAGACATTATTCTTCTATCGTTATGTGTATTAGCGGTGTTAGCTCTCTCCAGATAGCAGCAGCCTGCTTCCTACTTGTATGCGCGACTTTGGCCATCTCACGGAGAGGTCGTTCAAAGCGCCGTTTTGGTCTTCCCCTTCCTCCAGGCCCTCCAGGAGAGTTCATACTTGGCCATCTCCGGTTGATACCAAAGTCTGATACAGCTCTCGCGTACGCCAAATGGGGACGAGAATATAGTTGGTTTGGAGGAAGCCCTACCCCATTTCCACAGCTAACAGTGAAGTCCACAGGTTCAGATGTCATATACCTCGAATCTCTCGGGCAGCCCATTGTGGTGTTGAACAGCACGGAGGCGGCAGCAGAACTCTTGAGCCGAAGAGCAGCAAATTACTCTGACCGACCCCGGTTCACCTTATTCGAAGTGTATGCACCTATTTCCCCCTCTCAAGACCTTCGTCCTGTTCAGATTTCGATCCTAAACGGAGCACGGGATATGTTAACAACCCGGCTCAAAATAAAGCATGGGGTGGGGTGCGACATTGACGTTCCTCCCTTTCGGCCCCCAATGGCGCCTGCACCGGAGACTTTTGCAAACGAACCTCAGCCCCTCCAGGGTCCGCCAGTGGCAGAAGCTGCAGACCCAAGAGTCTCGGCGTGCCGCCATGTCCATCCTAGTCGACGAAAGCACTTGGAGACCAGCGCTAAAGAGGTGGGGGCAATTTGTCTGCAGGCACCTTAGCGGAGATGGAATGCGAATGCTAAATGAATCGACATTGTTAGGCTTTCCGTTGCCGTTGTGCTCATGGTTAGCTACGGGATACAAGTCGATTCGGATGACGACGAATATCTCAAGATTGCCAATGATGCTATTCATGTGACTGGAAATGGTGGTCTTCCGGCCGGTAGCATTGTTGATATATTTCCGTTTGGTACGACGAAGCGGTTGCGGATCCTGCAGTCCTGGGGTTCACCTTGATGTTTTGCCCTTTAATAACACATTTTCCCCTCTTGTTTAGCGCGACATCTTCCTAACTGGCTTGTCCGGGATTGGCCCCTGAAGTTTGCCCGGGAATGGGGATGGGCGATACGGAGGTTGCACGATGTTCCCTTTGCGGCGGTTCAGGCCGAAGTGGTATGTCTATTCCCTTTCACCCTTGGCCTTTGTCTTCACCAATTAGACAGGCCATTACGCGTGTCCTCTAACTTTCCAACTCTCAAGGATATCGGCATCATAAGAGACTCCTTTGCGCATGATCTCCTTGCGGAGTCCAGGTCCAATGAGAAGCACGGTCTGAACCTATCATTTACTCTCGATGATATAAAGGGGGCTAGCGGCGCCATCTTTATTGCTGGCGCCGATACGGTATGTGCCCTCTGCGCATGATCATACGGCCCTTTGGGTTCCACGCACTTCAGAGAAGCCGCAATCGGATCCGCACCTAACATTGACTTGCCCCCTAGACCTGGGCGACACTTGTCGTCTTCATGCTATGCATGGTGCTCTACCCGGAGGTTCAAGAAAAGGCACATGCGCAACTCGATTCCGTTCTGGGCACCGACCGACTTCCTGACTTCGCGGACAGGCCCCTGTTACCTTACATCGACCTTATCCTGCAGGAAGTCTTTAGGTATCGAATCTCACCTACCCCTGTTCGAAAGATGCATATGACTGATCACCAGAAACCTAGATGGGCACCTCTCGCGCCGTTAGGTTAGTGTCGGTAATACCCCGACACTTCAAAGGTCGTCGCCACACTAACGCGGCTCTCATAGGGATCCCACATAAATCCATCAAAGACGATGTCTACAAGGGAATGTTCATACCGCGAGGCAAGTCGCCCCTCAAAAGCGCGTATTCTTTGCTTACCGCCTATCGAGTACTAATATATACATACTATAGGGTAAGCGAGCTTCTCAACGGCACATTAGGCCGGGATAATAACAACCCCGTCATTAGTTCCACTGTCTTTGCCAACGCCCATGCCATGAGCAGAGACGAACGCATCTACAAGGATCCGGAATCCTTTAACCCGGATAGGTACGATCCCTCCTCTCACGGAGCGCCTGGGGAGCCCCGCCCTGTTGGGCATTTTGGCTTCGGCAGGAGGTAAGTCCTTCACGCCCATCCCTGCACATACAGTGTACAAACAAAAAAAGGAAAAGAACATGTTTGTGGAGTCCCTGGTATAGTCGATAGATACTATATGACTGCAAGGGCTCGCTAACCTCAAGGAACTAAAGATCATGTGTTGGACAATTCCTCGCAGACAACACCTGCTGGATAGCCATCGCCACCATCCTCTCCGCCTTCAAGATCGACAAAAGATGTGACGAACACGGCGTCACAGTCGAACCCACCATCAAGTTCACAAACGGTGGTACCTGGTGCGTAGTGTATATTCTTTTTTCTTTCTTCTTTTGAGCCCGAATACTCCCCCGCCCCCCACATAATGCTCGTCCTTCCTTCGTGCTCCTCACATTCGATGCACGGGGCGAGGAAGAGCCATCATACAACCAATTAGATCCTTGCTTCGAGCTTTCTTTCCCAGATATTTTTTGCCCCAGTCTTTGCGCCCATGGCTTCAGGCTCCGAAGCTAATGCAGAAGAATAGCCATCCAGAGCATTTCGAATGCTCCATTCGGCCTAGGTCGGCGAGGGTTTCTGATCTATTGGGTCTTGCGTTCCCCGAGCGAGGAACGCAGGAAAGAAAAGACAGCAAGGGATAATGCAGAAGACTGGAAGTAGCGGAAGTCGAGGTGGAGAACTTCAATGAATGAAAGAATGAATGGGAGGAGACAAGAAGAAGAGGAAGAAGAAGAAAAAGAAAAAGAAATAAAGCTTGGGAATTGGCCCAGAACGATCCGAAGACGTCCTCGACTCCAGTAGCGAAGCAAAGGATAATGGAGGTAATACATCAACTACTCGTATTGGGAGACAAAGGATGAAATGGCGCACATTTAGCAAGGGGTCTTTTGTTAGTTTCGTGTTTGGCTCATGTTAACTATTCTCTACCCAATCCCTATAGTAAAAAAAAAGGGAGTAAATGAATAAGTAAACAACACTAAACAACAGATAAGGGAAAAAGAAAGCGCAAAGCGAAACAGAAGAACAATAGAGGATGCCCGTTCTCTCGTCTCCCTCCGCTCCTACCACCAGGCCCATGACCACCTCGCCAAATCTCTCTTGATTTGAGAAGCGACCCCTCCGTTACCCTTGCCCTTGGTAGTGGTACCATCCCCCGCAGCAGCCACCGAATCCTCTGGATGAACAGTTCCTGATTTCTTTCGTAAACTGGCCTGTCTTGTAGGAACGCTAAAGGGCATGGCGTTTCCCATGCGTACATTTTCCCCGCCTCCACCTTCGGCAGTTCTGCTCAGTGGCCTTTTGCTCGTCCTGACGCTCCCGCCCTTGGCTGCCGCATATACCGCGGGATGTTGCCCATCCCGACATGTCCACTCCCGCTCCCGCTCATGTCCCTTCTCCTTCTCCCTGTCTTGGAGTGGCGGGGTTGGCTCGTCCCTTGACTGTATTACCATCTCAACGGCCCTTCTCGCCTTGTCCAAGTCCCAGTGCCTCATGATGATTCCCACGAGGAGACTTACTCCCGCAGCACCCTTGACGGGAGAAGGTCTTCTTTCACAATCACCGTAATCCTTCAGTGACCCGGCTCTAGCCCACACCGAGGCGGTATCCATCCGCTGAATCCATGCAGTGACAATAGTTTCGAGCCGGGTGCTCAAGGCCAGGTCTGTCTGAGAACAAGAAGGTGCGAACGCTGAATGAGAGTAACTGATACGGAGTCGGAGATACTCCTGAGGGGAAGTGCCGAGTTGGGCCTCGAGATCCTTGAAAAGAAGATCTGAGCTTGGTGGCGGGGGAGCTGAGGCTCTCGGGCGTGGCCTGCCAAGTGGCAGGGAGGGGGACAGCCGAACATGGATAATGAGTAGAGTAGCTGTGTTTAAGTTTAATGCCCTTTGAAAGTGTTAGCCTGTGAGAGAAAGAAGATGAATGAAACAGAAAATTTATGGAACCGTACTTACACGGGAAATGATTCATCCTGGATAATATTCAAAACCGTGGTTCCGTTGGTCGGGAGCACGTCGACAACAAGGTTATACAAGCATCCGTATGAGATGGGACCTTTCCGATAGGGTTAGATATTCTCTTGGTTCCGTACTCAAGCTCTTCTCAACTTACTCAATACTGGCCGTACAAAGCCCAACTGGCCTCCCCAACCATTCCAAGGCGGTACGGCTGGTGGTCCTCCATCAGATCTACACAGCTGAGCCGCAACCTCAACTGCAACCCAGATTGAAGTCTCCTTATCGCTGACTACATCAACCTCGGGCGTAACATGAACTCTTGGCACAAGAACATGCGGTGCACACTTCTCCGTATCCAGGGATGTCAACGTGTCCGTATCGTACCCTCCGGAAGACCGAGATGGACGGTTACTGGGGCCGATTGTGCCAAGTCCGGAATCCTACGGGGCTCTAGCAGCCGGCTCGGCATACGAAAACCTCTCTGGTGGACCAGAGTATAAGTTATAATGGTCTCCATTATCGATATCGTACCGCGTTGTGAAAGACTGTCGGGGCCGAACCCTTCGCACACGCAAGGGTGGAGAGGGTGCCGCCTCACGTATAAGAGCATACGGTTGAGCTACCCGCTTCGTCATGGTCAGGGGCGGCGAGTCCGCCATGGCGGAATCCACAACCCCGCTGTCGTACGAATTACCACTGGGCTCCCTCATGCTTCCTGTCTTGACAATGCTCAAGGGTCGGGGCAGCTCCTCCGACGGCACGGGATCAGGCGAGCTATTCATGGCAACGGGCGATGGAATGTATCGAGGGAAAGCGATCGATGGTGACCCTCTTCACTTCCGGTAGCCCTCGACCGCTTGCGTTGGGATGGACGCTGCGCTTCGACGTCCTCTTCGTTATTGTCTTGGTTATCGGATGAATTACCCCAGCAGATGAGGTAGGCAACGAGTCCAACAACGGATAATACAAGTATGATGAGAGAAATGATGAGTGACGGATAATTGGTTCTCCCACACTTTTCTTGACACATATTGATGGGAGCAAATTTATAGAGGAAAATCAAAGACGAGATGCGAAATGATCCTCATATACACAAGCAGAAACAGAGTCAAAGAGATGCACCGATGAAGTCGTAAAGGGGTATCAATCAAGCATTGGGGACTGCAACTTCCCCGTCATCATCCTTGGACACCAAATGTCGGAAAGAGCTATAAGCGCCTAACAACCCCCCGTCAATCAAGAAAATAAAGGTTGAGGCAAGCGATCCTATGGGGCGGGGAAGAGCAAAGGCAACCAACCTTGTGTTCGAGGCCATTACCTCCCACCCAAGAACCCCGGGGTCGCTTGCCCTCGAAACCAAAATAGTTCCGAAGAACCCGCTTTCCCTTCAGTCCAGAACGGCGGACCAGCGCCTTCCCCAGACCTCCGGTAGCAAAAAAAAGAGATGTGAGTTACTTGGCCACGCCAAGTGTCCTCATGAGGTTGCCCTTCACCGCCTCGATCTCACCCTCTTCCATTGGCAGGAATCCGATCTATGTAATCTGTCAGCATCTGGAAGTTGCGAAGCGTCTTGGTGGAAAAGAACGAAGGAACATACTACGTCATCAACTCCGCTCGCACCACCGTATAGCACAGCTTCAGAAAGACAAGCCGCGATGTTCTTCTTAACCCTATCTTCCCACACCCCGTCCCAGTTCCAATCGCCAGGTTGCCTCACACTGGGAGACATATTATGCGTCCCCACATCAGCTCTCTCCGACCGGTTGAATTCATCATCGAATATCTTCCCCTGTGCCTTCCTACGAGTCCTCCACGCATGCCACGCACCAGGATTCCCTGCCGCCTCTAGAGGCACCGAATCTAGCACAGCCTCGTCATCGAAAGTGCTCAGTATATACCTCAAAACGTCGTACGTCGCTACGTGTTCTGTTCCTGTTTGTACGTAGGCAGGAACGTCTCCTGAGGGAGTTGATCGATTTCCGGGGGTCGTTTCGACACTGGCCGTTCCCGGACGAGGTTTCGTGGGTGTCTGCGCCCTGCCTGTTGAGCCGGATGCCGTTCTGTTCCTCCTTCCAAACCAATTCGCGAACCCGTGTCGGAGACTGAATCCGCCGGGCGGTAACCGCTCCGCATCGGATGCGCTGACGGTGCCGTTGTCCTGGATATCAGTCGTGTAGGTGTAGTTCGAGAGAGGGGTGATTAGGGGGTGGAAGATATCTGTCGAGAAGGTGACGAGGGGCGGTAGGCGCGGATACATGTCTGGGAACGAGATGTGGAATCGCAGCACGGCGTTGATATACGGGCCTAAGGAGCAATTGTGCTTTCAATTAGCTCAGATACCAACATCAAACTTCTAGGGGGGAAAAAAAAAAGGAGGATGCTCACCTTTCCGAACAAACATTACCCCAGACCATAATGATGAGTCTCCTGGAGTCAAGCTAACAAATATCCCCTCCGGGCAAGTTTGTTTGAGTCCGGCGCTACAGCTCTCGGTCAGCTCTGACATCACCAGCTAGTCTCAGGAGCTTGACGAACAATTCTGCCAAGAGGTGCTGCCTCCGTAAAGAGGGCAGACTCCCCATTCGTGTCGATGACATGGTTGCGGTGATAAATTAGGCCTCGGAAAGAATGATTCCTAGGTCTATTCGCCTGAAAATACTTTGTATATCGAGTTATGTTGATAAGAAAGATGATCCATCATCCGAGACGCCAGTGATCAAAGGAGGTTTATGCGACAGCGGGCGGTGAACAAGAGCGGTGAAAATTCTGCCAGTCATACATTGTGTCCCACATTTTTAACCCAGCTGCGGGGTAATTTGGTCAAGACGGAAAAGAAGTGATGGGAGGAGGGGAAGCTTGAAAGAGCGGTGGAAGAGAAAATGTGCTGAATTTTGGTGGAAATCTAAAGAATGTGTTTATTCTATGTTCCCAAGTCGTTCCATACCGGAAGAAACCATTCTCTATTACAAAAGAGAGAGTTTTAAAAAGAAGAAAATAAGGAAAAAAAAAAATGTACCAGTGTTACCGTCCCATCGCCTTACCATCTCATCCAAGCCCATGACGACATCAATTCATGACCTAACATGAGGGGACCCTCCTTACCCTTTCCCTAAGACCCTAGCGCCGGGATATTTTCCATGACTTGTAGACAAGAAGAAAACTTCTAGTGCTTAGTTCCTAGCCTCTGCTCGATCTTTGTCTTTTCTTGGTCCTTGATTCTAGCAAGTTCGTCCTTCGTAGCATCGTAGCGAGCAGTAACTTGGTTGAATGGGTTCTCGGGGCTCTTCTCAAACTCTTTACGTATTCGCTCCTTCTTCTGGTTGAGGCGCAGACCCGCTCCCGTACCATCCGAATCCATTTCAGCGAGCCGACGCTCCTCGTACTTGGCGTAGGCGGCGGGGTAACGTCGCTCGGGGTGGCGCTCGACCTTCGTATCTGCGTGAGAAGCGGTGGTGATGGATAGGGCGTCAAGGGCGTTGTCGATGCCAGAAGCATGGAGCGCGGGCAGCGCCTTGCCGGTGCCCAAGTCGTCGAATTGCGAAAGGTCTGGACCGCGAGTCTTCTTCACCGCCGACTTGGACTTTTTCGGTGTCGATCGGCTGGGCAGGCTCTGCTCCTCGGCGGCCAGGAGTGCATCTCGTTCAGCCTTTTTTCGGGCCTGCTCGGCCTTCTTTTCGAGCTCAGCGTCTCTGTCGTAAGCCAGGTGGGTTAGTTGCAGTTTTCCAAACGAATGGCATCGAGGATTTTAAGAAAAAGTCGGTTGTTGAACGTGACTCTGACAGCGCATGGGGGGCCTGTCGCAGATGAGCCCTGGCATGCTGGGATGGGGTGGATCACAGAACTGCGGTCTACGTAGACATTTTTCCTCTTGCAGAAATGAAAAAAAAACAAGTCAAGGCAACGGCGACAAGGAGAGGGTGAGAAGTGAAAAAAGAAGGCGGAAAAAAGAAAGATATGCATAACCCTGGTCGCACTTACTTCTTCGCCCTGCCCTTGGCACCAGTCTTCCACTTTTCCTCCTCAAGAGCCTCCTCTCGGGCGGCCTGGGCAGCGGCTTTTTGCGCAGCCACCTCGGCCTTCTTGGCCAAGCCGGCGGCCCTCTTGCTGGTATCGCCTTTCCTGGGGCCGGACATGGTTCGTTTATTCGGTGAATAATGCGATACTTTCGGGTGTGAAGAAGATGGTACGTCGGTGTCGACTGGGACGTTTGTCCCTGCACAGCGGTTCCAAGATGGATGTTGTTCGACCGGGGTTATCAGTCGGCCGGATATGTGATGGTGGGGGCCGGTGTTCGATGGGGATGGAACGGGTTGGGGTGGATGGCGTGTTGTCGTCGATGTTGTTGTGTCTGTGGCTGTTTAAAGGGATGCGTCGAATCCAGGATTCCACAAGGCGGGTAACTGTCTCGTCACCTGTACCCAGTAGTTGTTGAAAAATAAGAGACTACAGAAAATTGATGTTGTCTGTCCTGAAATGCTTGACATGCGGAACAGGCGCAAATCTCGGACAAGGGTGGTGTATGAGGGGAAAAAGAGGCGAAAATAAGCAGGCCTGCAAATCACGAGCGGGAAAAACCAAAGCCCAGAAAATAAAATAAAAAAAATAACCTGAGGTCGAAAATAGATTTCATCCCAATAGCTAACCTTCGCTACCCTCTGGTTCACCAGTAGTAACTTCCCGCTGCTGCCCGCCATTCGCTCGTAGGGGGACTACTGCGTACAGAGTGACTCCTTCCTCCAATAGTCGCCTGCCCGCTCTGACATATGAAATCGACTCGACTTAATGTCGGTCACTCCTCCTCTGTTCGACAGCGCTGAACTATGCACGAAGTACTTCGTACATTACACTACACTAGGAAGTCGCGCACATCAGACTTGGAAAACTTGTACTTGGTGGCGGACTTGGCGGGACTTGGCGGGACTTGGCGGGGCAGGTGCCGGTCAGCCCAGTGTTGCGTCACCATCAACTCTATCCGACATCCCCGGTATCCTTCTTCTGCTTCCAAAGTACTACCTTGTTTCGGACCCCCGATCTGCAATAATTGGACTGTCTATAGACTGTTCAGCACACCCATTAGGGACAGTATCAAACTCCCCCGAACCAGTAGGTATTGAGGAATGAGCAGTGGTGGAACACGTCGACTCGGGATACAGGTATGAAAACAGAAAGGCGGGCAGCATATCAGGTCACTTGACCAAGCACTGCCCTTGGGGGCCACGATGTTAGATTCGCCGCCAGCGTCGCTTTCGGTCACCTACATATGTGATAAATCCTCGCGCCGAGGTCGTCGATATTTCAATTTTTCAATATTCCCTTTGGTGCTGCAGATGTGAGGGTCGAAAGAGCCACTCACCCCCGGCTGGACGAGGAAGACTGCATCTGCAAAGGTCTTACAGACAACCTCTTATAGCCTCGGATTGCCTATCCTTCCTCGGCATCATCGAATCTGTTGCTGCGATCCTATCAATATACTGCATGTAAGACGATACGATGCGCCGGCTCTTTGACTCTCACCTATCTCTCGACTTCGCGCAACGCAATCCTTCCTGGATCAGCTCGCTCCTATTCGGCCGTACCATGCAACCTGACGTCGGCAGCCGCAATGCATGCTGTAGTCTGTACCGAGTTTTTGAGATGTTCGGACAGGAGCTCGCTTAAATCCCTAGCAGCAATAGCATAATGTCCGAACTCTTCCATCGCGCGGCAAGCCTCCGTACGTTGTATCCCCCAAAGCTGCCATCCTTGTCCATGTCCACGCCTTTGCCCGCTCACACACTCACCGGATACCACGTAATAGTGCCTTTATCGCGCATCTGCGCGAGGCTCTGAGGGATGCCAAAGGCCCAGACTACACCGGAGATAGAACTCCGGAGGGCTGTTTACTGCAAGTACTACTTGTAAACCAACAGTCGTACATGTTATAGTGCACCCAGATCAGAAGTTATGCCGGGTCTAGCCTCCCATGGACTCTTTCGATGCATAACTGTGTCCTCCACCTTTGGGCTCCCAGTTAGAACCTACGAAGTACGCAGTCGTGAGGCCACAGAGGTGTCACCATTGCTAGACCAACACCTCATGAACTCCCGAAGGTCCCATCTACTTCGTACATTTTATGATTTCTCCCGACCCCCCTGCCGACCCGCCTGTCCGTCCATCATTTTGGATGCCTGTTGGTCCTGGCGCGCTTAAACTGTATCATGGCTGCTGCTCAGCTGGGGTATCGCATGTAGTATTATGTACCTGCTCCCTTCCCCCATCTCGATTAAGCCGCCATGCCTTTTTTTCCCTTTTCCCATCTGCAGCAGCAATTTGCGCCCCAGGAATCTGGATCACATCTGCAGAGGGGAGAGACCCGCTGTTACACGAGCCTTGGCACCTTCCAGTTGTGAATATCCGTGCCGTCTCTATGTACGAAGTAAGTAGCTTTCCTATCCGTTTCCGGCTGCTCTCGATTTGCTCCGATCCCTGCCCCTTAGTTGCAGCTGGGGGGAACCCGGGAGATGTACCGTTGCATCTTGCACACAACCCACGAAGTACCGTCTCCTTCGTACGGAGTAGCAGCAGATGACACCTTGCACCTTCACTCAACAACTAAGACGTGCCACCTTATCGGACCTTGCTAGCCAGGCATACACCCAGACATACATACACATGTGCACTGGATGGAGGCCTCTGTGAAATGCTGCAGCATGAGGTCGGCCGCATAGGTCGACCCAATTCTTGTGATGTTAGTAAAGGACGCTGCAAGGTCATTGTCATGGAGATACAGGGGGGGATGTCGCTCAACCTGCACCATGGATACCGTGACAGGGAGCTAATATGACCTATTTCCATCTGGCCTGTCTGCCGTTCTATTCTGCGCGCGGAGCACGCAAGCCACGACTGCTTTATACGAACTTACGAAGTACGCACATGCAGTCAGATCCTTGATACCGTTGCTGGACTTTGGGGGAAACCAACCAGAGTCGACATCCTTCGTCTTAATCTTCCATGGTAGGTAGCATCATGGGTTCACCCACGTCCATGATGCAGGACCGACGTATACCCTGCTCTTTTCCACCACTACTTTTATGTACTTCAGCCACCCCAACATCAAAACCCGGCAGGGATAATCCGCGTCCTGGATTTGGCTAGGATGGGCGGGCGCAGTGGAGGGCTCGCATATGAAGACGTGCCTGGAAGCCCTGTTCAGACGCCCCACGACGAACCGTTCGGGAGGGAGAACCGCCCAGTGTCCACTGACTGCACCTCAGTAATGGCGAAACACAATATGACTTCCATAAAGGGTCCCCTACATATGCGCCTGGTTGAAATGGGCATTTCAGAGAGAATATCTTGAGGTAGACAACCTCTCACAACCGGGAATGAAGGAAGCTTGCGAGCGAGCCCGGTGTGTAAGTCTGCCTCAGTACCAAGAAAGATGTCGGATAGAGGACCCACGAAGTACGAAGGTACTCATACTACGAAATGCTTTTTGATCCTTGCGTACATGCGCGCTAGTGGAGAACAGGATGCTAGACAAGCCGTCAAGCCGTCGGCATGTCTCAATGAGAAGTGACAAGCTTCGGTCCCTTTTCCTTTTCGTCTATGGGGGAGGCGGAGATGAAACTAAATTGGTTATCCTAGGGTGATGTCTCGGTTGTCGCGGTTTGTGGGGAAACGCTCCGTACAAAGTATGCTACACACCCTGCTGGGAAGGGATCGTCTCGACCTGGCAATGCTGGCTTCGTGCTCGGAGGCTACAGTGCCGTGTTTCCTTACGAAGTATATGTTTTGAAGCAGGAGAATGGGCTGCAGCGAAGCATCTTGTGATCCTCTTGGTGGCTGGAGGCTTTTCTGTTGAATCGACTCGGGGACGGTGAGGTCGGAGCAAGAGAACCAACGTTAGCTGTGTAACAGGAATACAGCGTCGGCTTTCTACACCTTCTTCCTCGACTTCTTCATCTTCATGTGCTGCATCATCATCATCATCATCATTCAATAAGGATAGGCATGGAGGCTGTCACACTGTCGCGGGAGTGATTATTGTCTCAAACTCGATGATTGGCCGCAACCCAAGACATTTCTATTTTGACAAATGGATTCAGGTAGTATTACTCGATAGACCAACAAGATAATAACCCGTCCCACCATGTTTGTGCGACAGGGGTTGTGTCATAAACTCGGTGAGGCAACAACATTTATCTGACAAGTCACAACGGGACGCCTGTAAAGCCATGCACTTGTGGGGAGCCTTGTCAAACCAGCTCAGCGGAGTGGAAGGAGTGCACATAGTATTCTGCTACTCGTGCAGTCACACTCCAACACATGCAAAGTGTAGTGGATTGTAGTTTACTCAGAGTGGCATGGAATTCACCCCGTGGTCCCTCCGTTGGCCTCCCACACTGCATAGGACCCCGGCTTTCTCTGTTGCCTAACGAGGAACTTCTATTTAGATATCATACTCTTATACCATTCGTATGGAGCGACAGACGATAAGTCTGAATGATAACCGAGCTGCAGAGGCACCATGGAAGCTGTGGGTGGAGGATGCACGTACTTCGCAGTCTTGGCTCACTCCCGCCCCCAAAGAATGTTATGCTCGCGGGCTGGATGGACGCAGCCTTCGCGGAGGCGCTGCAAAGAGGCAGCGTGTTCTTCCGAGAGCTCCAAGAAACGGTTGAGCCCCACACTATCCCGGCTGATACAAGATTGGACACGCATGGTTGCGCACAGGGTCGGAGTCAGACTTCAAGGTAGTGAAGAATGTGCTTTCCAGCATGACAAGATGACCGCCCTCGTGGTCTCTCGTCGGCGGTAAAGGTGGTATGATGTACGCGAGAATGTGCAGTTGACCAAACGGTCATGGTAATCTAGGAAACGGATATCTTGCCTCAAGCATGTCGAGCATGTACTAATCTGGACACACTTCGTTGGCAAATGTCCTCCGTGCAGGTTGCACAACATCTCGGTCTATGCCAGGGATGAATATCACACCCTGCACAATAGATGGAGCACAGAACATCGGGCAATCTAACCGCCCAGCGGGTCCTAATCGAGAGCCTTGGCCATTAATTGGCCCGGCCGATCGCCGCGAGGTGGGTTTGAAAAGCCGCTGTTGTGAACAAGGGTCCGTGGATAGCCTAAAGCACTG